CTGTACCCAGCGCAACGGACTACAGCTTTAGCACAATATGGGTGGTCCTGATGCGATATACTTCCATAGAAACAGCAATAGTCTACATTGTCAGGCCATCCAGTGCTATCAATGTCGACTGCAGCCTTTGCCCGCCTGATTACAATGGGGCAATTCTACAGCAAAATAGTAGTTCAAATAGCAGACGCAGCAGCGTACTTCGCAAATTGCCGTCAATGGGGCATTAAAAAAAATGCCAGTGTCGCTGTAACCTGTGAGGGTGCATTCCTTACGGCAACTATTCGTCTACGACTTAGTAAACGCTTAAAGTTTGATGTCCGGTACAACTGCCTGTAACGAAAACTGTCGACGACGAAATATGGTCGGAGGGGCATCGTTTATTTTTCTTTTAGGAGGCTTGAGTCTGTATCTATAGAGCATAAATGGCTCACGCCGATGCCAGCAACGATGTCGATTTGCTACTCTTGCTGTCGGCTATTAGTCTCTCTTTGGAGTAGTTATAGCCTTTAATAACAATTTGCCGGCCTAGCAAAAGAATGGCGAACGGTCTTGTTGGGCAGCGGTGACACTACAACGCGGTTGGTAGTAATGGGCCGCAGCCTGTATCAGCGCTGGTTCACCTGCCTGTAGCGGCGCTGTAGGCACGCGCCTCTACGGCTTCACGAATCCACCGCACCATGGACGGGCCCTACGCTTGCACGCTGCAGAATTCGAGTCACGTCGCAAAGAGTGAGAAAGGGATGGGTACACCCTCCCCCTCCCCCTCTGGGCCTGTTTGTGTAGACCGATAAGATAAAGGATGATAGTAAGTGAACGACAGGAAGGGGCTAGTGAGATCGCAAAGGGGCCTGATAGAAGGCGCAAAGGGCGAACGTAAGAGGGGGCAAACAGAAAGCCAAAGAGAAAGGGCGGTTCATGAAACTGCAAGGTGCCCTGTGCGCTCGCTCGCCATTCGTTGGCGGCCTTATGTGAGATCGAGCCCTAGCTCTTCCGAGATCGGACACGACTGACACGCGGCGCACCATTCCGGAATGGATATGACGCTGCTTTAATGTTACTCGGTCGATTTATCAACCCACTCTCGTCGAGTCCGCAGCTAAGGCAAAGACCACCAATCTGCCCTGTTTGTCGCGCAGTTTCTTAGCTGCCAACAGTAATCACCGATCCAGGGAAGGGCCGAAACCATCGGGGCCCCTTTGTCTGCATTTGTGTGTGTAGCTAGTTGTGAGCCTCTGTGTGCATATGGACCTCTGTATGTATAGGATCGTGTTTTTTTGTGGCCAACCGTGGCCAGGCCGAGCATGCTGGCGATACCTGAGTGGTAGGCCGCGAGAGAAGGGCAATCGTCCGGGACCCCGAGAATGATTTGATCCTATAATTTGATAACGACACCGATACCCACAGGCGATAAGCTGGCAATCCTTTATGCGAAGACAGTGTTCGGCCAGCGTCATAGAGTTCTCCACTCACGCAAATGTTCGGCTTCGGATCCATTTACATTCCTATATTGCTATTGACTCCTTGCTTTGATGCGATTGCTGCTGCTGCTGCTGCCCTTACAACAGGCTACATTACAACAACCTAAATTACAACAAACGCTATTGCTATTTCTGTAATAAAGCGAAAACGATTCTAGCGGCCTGTAGCGAACGTATAGGATGCATAAATAACGCCCTGCTGCCTTTCAACGGCATTACATTTGAGTACGCCTACATTATACGAACACGCCAAGGAGATAGGAGAAATACATTTAGCCTGTAACACAATGGCGTATCGTTGCATCTTTTTTTTTTAAACCTAGTGAAGTTCTGAGAAAGTGTTTTTTTTTTTAATGGTACATGTAAGCAATACTGTGATATTTGGAGCACAATAAATGCAAGCGCTATCAAAAAAATCGACAGATAATTCCATTCACGTATGCGCCGCGTACCAACAAAGTCAATCTGTGTGTGACCTGCCCCTTTTATAAACGCAAAGCGTGTTTTTAAAGATTGTCATAAGCGAAATTATTGGTCTCGTACGTGCGTAGAGAAGTTTACCGGTTTAGGGAGGGCATCGTAATCACAAATATCTCGGCGTACTCTTTACCTAGACAATGTACGAAAAGGGGACGATGCTCGAAAGTAAAATCCATAGAGCACTCGTTGAAGGTCATTGAAGTACTTTCTTTTTTATCCTGTTTTTCTCATAGAGACTAATGAACTCATCGGCCCCAGTAAAGATAGACGGATAATCTTGGGTTCTGAATGACCAACACTTAAATCTCGTTATTTCCAATCTTGTTTTTTTACTCTCGACCACTCTCCGGCTCATTTAAATGCTAATAGGCACAGCACGCCATCGATAGTGTTGAGCTAAGAGCGGCCATAGTAGAAGTAGGCAAAGAAACACGGCGTAGCAAATACCAGCGAGCCGACGCAACTGTACTATAACTGTCTGTTGAAGTCTGTTTTCTGGCGAGCAAGTCAACGGAGTCTACGTGCCTGCTAGAAAGTTCTGTCCCTATAAAAGAAATTGCTCCCGAAGACGGTTAATTAGTTGGTAGGTCTTCCTGTTGTCACCGAAACTCTGAGATCCGTTTCTGTTGTTCGTCAACAATGTTTTCTTTACCGCATTCCTATAGTATAGCCAATTTCTACTATTTTTCCATTGACTTTATGACCCGTGCAAATTTGTTTCGTGACCAAACAATCAATCTGTGAGTAAACAAACTCATAGAGCTCTTTACAATTATGGTATTATTGACAGAGATAATCGTATAACACACGAAATGAAATGTGTTTATACAAATTTATCCTGTGACCCGATAAATGTTATAGAATTCGAAATACTATATAATATGGTATATTTGCGTGAAACTGCAAGCAAATCACTAAGTTCCCTGATCGACAGGTATAAAAAGCATGTATGGACACGCTAACAACGTTCCGATAGCGGCAATTTGGATGGCGTCATTAAACGATTGTTATATGATGTACCGGCGGGGAAGCCGCACTGTCCTCAATAAGTACTTAATCGCAACGGGATGTCGAACGCTAGCGAAGTTCGGCAAAAAGGGCCGTTCAGCTCTGGTGTCCGCTGCTGCCGCTCACACAACATCATTTTTGTAACAATAGCTAATAGGAGATCCCGGTTAGCTCTTCGCGCGGCGCAAGGGTCTTGTCCTCGTTCAGGTTTTGTTCGCAGCAGGAATTACAAGGATGCCTTAGAAGACGAAACGAGGTCGATGAGGTGTTAGCGAGCGGTTGCCGTGCGGCGAAAGCGGCTCTCTGTGCTTTCCTGCCTTTCGTTTATGTGTCGCTAAGCGTGTAGCAGACCTATCGCATCAGCAGCACATCTTCACCCAATCATTAATACGCTATCAAAAGTTAACCACGTTGCCCCGGAAATAGTGTGTATTATGGCGAGGTTGGCCGGGAGTTCTGTCGAGATTCAACAACATAAGTTGTCTTTACTAGCGTTGGCGCTCCTCATCGCTGCGACCCTATAGTCCGTTCTTAGGCCGACTAATTTTATGAGGAATCATTCGCGCCATTTTTCGCATTAATAACGTCGTACACGCTCGCTAAGAACAGACAGCGGCAACTAACTGAATCGACAGAAGTGCTGACGTGTCACCAAATCGAATTATTGCATCATGTAGAATTTAGATGACATATGTCTTTGTGTGTATCTGATAAATAAATTAGGATGTTTTTTTAAGCTCCGCTGTGCTTACTGCAAATTACATATTTGTTCCACCACGTCGAGGAAGGTTTATACAACATGGCGCCCGATCACCCCTTCTTGACCTTCTTGGTTCCTGACGCAACTTTGGGGTTATGTATACCAGTGCATAAGTGAGACATCGAGCTACTTTATTGTGGATATTTTTTCGATGTCCTGGGTTACTGAGTTGTGTTATCCTAACATTGGCACATACACGGACGATGTGACATACCGACCCAAGCAACGTTCCGCTACGTACAGTCGATGCGAAGATCACATGCAGTCTCAGCTAAAATACATCTGTAACCGAAACGTGGCTTGAGCAATGAGGTGAAAGATCTTAGCTTATGCGCTTACGTATCGAGGATGCCGTCTCGTCGAACGTGACAGAATGAGCTGACGTGAACGCCTGCCTCCGGCGGCAAGGGCTGTGATATCCTATGGGCCGCAGTTCGTCTGACAGGGCGGCCGGTGAAGTCCCGTGAGCCTTCCGCACAAAGCCGGAAAGCTTGCGAGTCTCTGAGGGCCAGCTTGTCGATGGTGTCGGTATATTAGGTTAATATAAAAGGCGGCTACAACATTTGTTTGGTTCGGGGCGGAGCCAAATCCTTACCTTCCCACGTCATTAACCGACAGCCATGTTCAGATACCTTATTTTGATGGCCAGCATTGACAACCATTAGATTCGTGCGTGAAGCGGCACCGAACCGCCCTGTCACATTGCTTTATAGAATAGCAGGACGGGGCTGTAGCAGACGATTTACGAAGGCATACTATGGAAGTCCTCGTTAGCTTAACCTGTTTAATCCCCCTACGACTATGGGACCAAGCGCCCCCGTCCAGCTTACGGCTATGGTCACTCTTCCTCTTTCAGCTTTTATTTTATTTTTTTTGTTGTTATAACCTCAGCTTGGCTCAAGGTCACTGAGTCAACGGGATCACCTTTATACAGTTTACTGTAACCGTATTTATTTGTTATTATTATTAATTTCTTTGCATACGAGTTTAAAACGTATGAGAAAGTGCACATTGAAGCTGACGGAGGAAAGACAGTCCGATAGTATTTTAATCTTAAAAAATTCTCACTGTTCGCTTGATACACCGACGGAATGCGGCTAGCTACAAAACGGTTCAAATATCTTTAAAATGCCCGGACAAAGAGTTGCCCGTTAAATCCAATATCCAATTTAAGTTAATCCGATATCGGTTTCTGACAGCGGAAAACTATTGTATTTTAAGGGCCAGTGCCTTATGGCAACTATTTCTATAATATTCTATTGCTGTAATTATAGGTTAGCGCGGACGACCCCGACCAGGGGGTTAACGGCGAGATCTACTACAATTTGGCGGAGCCTTCGCAACAGTTCGCCATTCATCCAACCCTCGGCGGAATCTCGCTCACGCGACCACTTGACTTCCGGCGAGAACGGGTGTATAACCTCACTGTCGAGGCGAGGGATCGTGGGCCAAAACTAGGAACAGGTGCGTGCCTTTGTGGTATAAACAGTGTCTTTTTGTGCATGGGAATATGGCGGCAGGTGTTTTATTACGGCACCTGTACTAGTCGAAAGAGTTGATCCATGCGAAACTTAGATCCAACACAGCACAGCTACAGACAGTGCTAAAGGAACGCTATGCACTCTATTGGGTTTCTTTAAAAGAAAAAGAAGCCACCGGGTCTGCACAACAAACAGAGAATTGGCCAACAATTTTTCTTCGCTAGCAAAATAACACTGCAAGGCAAGAACATTAGGTGGGTCTCCATATTGCTATTGTTCATACCCAGTCACCGTCAATTCTTCTAGAAATACGTTTCCCCCCACAGAGGTAGCTAAACTTGCTGATATTTATTGTATGGAATTGACTAACTCGCTTTTTTGTAAATTTCAGTGCAAATTTCAATACGAATAAGTAAATCATTTATTTTTACTATATATATATATATATATATATATATATATATATATATATATATATACACAGCAGAACGACCAACGTTTACAGTAGTTTTTACAGTACTTTTTTTAGAGAGTATCTGTAGCTATTTACCATTTCGATTCCTAATATCAACGGAGTCACCAAGTCCCAACAATAGCAAGCTCTGCTGACTTCCACTCCATTTATAAAATGATCGATCAGAACAGAGGAAACAGGAATTTTCCATGTCAATAGCATCCCACTCATTATACCGTTTTAAATGCTGTCAGCTTCGATCAGGCTATGTAGACCCACAAATCTTTCAAGCATTAGGCCGTGGGCCATTGCGGGCGCTAAATCTACCGATGAGCAGTTCGATGCTTACATGCTTCAGCATGAGGACAAACTTTTTGTAGAGGTCAAGATATCGTTTTACAAGGGCTACACGTCGCAGAACATAGGCAAAAACAGGATATGGCGTATCAAAGGCCGATACACTTATTGATTATCTTATTTGTTTTATGTCGTTTACTTGTATTTTCAGATACAGTAATAAAGGCAAGTACGGCAAAGGTTACTATTCATGTGTTGCCTGCAAACAGGCACAAACCAAAAATTGTCGTCAAAAATCTTCAGTCGTATATTGAGCACGGCGTGGGCCCCGAAACGTGGGCGGTGGTTCAGGTCACCGACGAGGATTCAGGAAGTAATGGCAATGTTGGGGGCCTAGCTATCACCGATGGCGACCTCGATGGCCAATTCCGGGTACACAACGTTGGACCCAACGAATACAATGTTGATTTTGATCCACGCAACGGGGCGACAGGGGAGAGTCGTGGCTATAACTTAACGTTACGTGCATGGGACAAAGGCAGTCCTTCACTGTTTACTGATCACAGCGTGTTCATTCGTGTAAGCCCTGCCCTGGGTGCTATTACGCCAGTTTTTGACAAGGAGGACTATGACGTCCACATCCAGGAGGTAGCCCCACCAAATTCACCTATCGTCCGCGTGTCGGCACATTTACCTCACGAAGAAAAGCACAATGACGTGATTGTGTATCGTATCGAAACTGGCGATGAGGACGGCATATTTGAAGTCAACCCAAAGACTGGTCAGATTACAACGAAACATTGGCTCGACCGTGAGACTCGTAAATATTACTCCCTAACGGTAAGCGCGACTAACACGAAAAGCCGATCGACGCGACATCGTACGGGTGCAGCTGTTGCAACGACTATTGTAAATATAAACGTATTAGACTGCAACGACAACGCACCGAGATTCAACACCAGCATCGAATCTGTGGTAACAATTGATGAGAACATCCCCATTGGAACGAAGGTGATAACAGTCAGTGCTGCCGACGCCGATGACGGCGAAAATGGCTACGTATCTTTTGCTCTAGCGAACACCAACAAGATACCGTTCAAAATAAGCCCGTTTACGGGGGTAGTAACAACAACCGAAGTGATCGATTACGAATCGATGTCGACCAATTTCTATATGCTACGAATCCGAGCTATTGACTGGGGCTCGCCGTTCCAGCGCCAGAGCGAAATGACGGTCCGTGTTCAGGTTCGTGATCTGAATGACCACAGGCCGCAGTTCGAGAAAGTTGACTGCGCGGTGAGCGTCAATAGCCAGACCCCAATTGGAACGGCGATCCTCACACTCTCGGCTATCGACTTAGACCTGCGAGATCTTGTTACCTATCGTATGGAACCAGCCAGTGAGCATCAATGCTTTTCGCTTGACCCCCAGAGCGGCATCCTTTCGGTAGCGTGCGATTCGATTGAGCTTATTGATCTCGATGACGTAATGCTGAACGTGTCAGCCACTGACGGTGAGCACTTTGCCGACTCAATGCATGTTAAAATTAAGATCGATAAATACAGCCAAGATCGCAACCATCTTCTGAAAAGCCGTAAAGACGAAAAGTGGAAACCGCACGTCGAGTGCCGGGAAGCGGGTCTGACCAAGAGGCTAAAGGAATTCCTTCTGGCGAGAAACTCGGCTGATCGAAATACGGACCAGATGGAAGACACCCTAATTTCCCATAGTTTCTTCGAGAACAGATTCGCGCCCGAATTTCCAAAGTCGTCGTTAGAAATCTCGGCCAATGAGAGCACACCAACGGGCAGTGTTCTTGCACGTCTGCGAGCCAAGGACGCTGATCATGGCTATAACGGTCAGCTCGTATATGTGATAGCTTCTGGGGATGACGACTCGTGCTTCCAGATGGACCTCTATAAAGGAAATCTGATTTTGGTGGAAACATTAGATCGAGAACGAACCCCAAAATACGTCCTCAACGTAACTGTTTATGACCTAGGTGAGCCCAAGAAGTCAGCGTGGATGACCGTTGTTGTCTACGTGCTCGACGTCAATGATAATCCACCTATTTTTGAGAAGCCCCAATACAAGTTCAAAATTAGTGAAGCCGTTAGTAAGGGCGCTCTCGTGGCAAAACTGCGTGCGACTGACGCCGACGACGGGGACAACTCGCGGATCCGCTACAAACTTTCTTCAGAAACGCACGATTTCACCGTCGACGAAAAATCAGGCATTCTGATCGTGCAACATAGCCTTGATAGAGAACGTCAGGCTGAATATAACCTCATGGTCAAAGCAACGGACTCCTCCTTTGATATGCCGCTAACTGGCACCACCTTGGTCAATATACAGGTTCAGGATGTCAACGACGAGCCTCCCCGATTCACCCTAAAAAGTTACTCGACTAGGGCACGCGAAGATCTGCCAAAGGGCACGGTCATCATGACGATGACAGCCCAAGATCCGGATCTGGGCGACGGAGGTAAAATTAGTTATCAAATGGTCAACAAGGAACTCAAACATTTGTTCGATGTTGATTCAGAAACCGGCATCGTACGATTGATCGGAGAATTAGACTTCGAGAAAAAGTAAGCACCTACTTACCTACACTTTTAGCTCAAATCGAATAACGATAGTGGCAATATGGGAGTACAGCTTATAAGTAAATAACCGTAAACAAATATTCAAGAAAAGCGGACTATGATGAAAAACTATTCCGAACGTCTGACCGCACGATCTGTTTTCAAAGGTAAAAAATTATAGAAAGCGTATTCGCCAAACACCTCCCTATCGACGCCCGCACGAGATGATATTAATAAACTGCGACAATGTGCTCTCCCCCTCTCTCTCTCTCTCCTCTCTCTCTCTCTCTCTCTCTCTCTCTCAACAGTCAAATTTACAACGTGACGATCCGGGCTAGCGATTCCGGAGAGCCAAAATCACTATACACCGAAAGCTTTCTTGTTGTCGAAGTTGAGGACGTTAACGAGAATCGCCATGCACCAAAGTTCGCCGACGTGGTAGTGCAAGCTGCTATTAACGAGAACCTCCCAATTGGAGCTTTCGTCCTTAACGTTACCGCGACAGACGACGACGACCCTTCCAAACTGGACGGAATGGTCACCTATAGCATAATTGAAGGGGACGGTTTGGGTCTCTTTGCTATCGATGATAAAGGTAAGAAAAGCAACAGCGCGAACATGAAAACCAATATAATGATCAACCTATTGTACTATGATGATGATATTAACTGCATGCAAATACTGCACGCATTCGTATAGATTGTCCATAGTATCCACAAGCTGTACCGATCGAAAAAAGAGCTTTTGTGAAACCGAGCCTATGATCTGCACGCGTCCGTTGATTCCAACCTCCGTAACTCTAAATGATATTAGATGGGTATTTTACGTTGCGCTATAACAAGAATAGCTGCGCACAGGATAGCTTAGATCGTTTGTCCGTTGACATTAGTCGCCGCTTCTCTCTATGGTGAGCAGCTGGATAGGAAACGGACGAATACCCTGAACCTTTGCGACCTGTAGACGCTGCCATCTTTGTGTATCAATGTGTTATTCCTTTGACATCCTGATGAGCACTGTTGTTGTACTTGGCTTGTCGTATCAATTTTCTGCGGATGCAGTACAAAAACGCAAAGACCGCGCTCGACAAGAGCAGCCCAAAGAATCAGCTTCGCCCGAAGCGTGCGCTGCTGGATGTATTGGTCGCCCTGTACAACCAACCAATAGTATAGTACCAACGGTATCACCATTGGCGACATCTCCGTTGCCTTTACTGGCATAATCTGAGTCCCCCTGCTAAGAACGTTCGTTCAGTTCTCGCAACATCTGCTTTCGTTGTGGGACGTGATTTTACCCTGCACGCGATTTTACGTCGCACTCATAATTTACGTTCCTTCGCATTGTGCGACCCATCTTATCCTGTTTTGACCCATGCCTTTCTCGTTCCCCGGAGGCTGCACCCTCCGCACAAGTATCATACGTTGGTTTTAATTGGGGTCAACCGTCGCTAGCTGCTCTTGTCCATTTGATAAATGCGTCTTCCGTGTACTGCTATGGGCCATCACTATCAGCGAAAGCCTGCCCGGTAGTTGACCAACGGCTGAAGCCTTACAGCAAGAGTCAAGCCTCACAGGGTCTGAGGGGTCCCGATCAACTCATATGTTATATGCTGCAAGCTGGGAAGGTCACGTAGACCGAAGCAACTGTGTTATCTTCACGGCAGAGCAGACAAACACTACGGACAGAGTGGCGTAATAGGTAATGCGATAGTATAACGACAAACTTTTGCTTGCTTATTTTCTTTTGCTAGATATTTATGTATGTCTAAGAATCGGGATAAATGGTTGGCAAACGCGATTCGTATTGAGTCTCTTTAGGGGGACATTTATTAGTAAAAGGGCAGTGGTTCTCTGCCTGTGTATCGGAACCTCGCTAGGTAAGACCATAGCAAAGTGATGCTATAAAAGGCCTATAGCTAAATCAAAAAGAGATCTATTAAGAACAGTAATTGCTCCTCGTTAGCCCCTGGAAATCAGTAACTTCTTACGATTCTTTATAATCGAACAGCATAATTTGTACTGGGTACGCCACAGCATTTAGGCTGCTGTGGCGTACCCAGTTCGAGTATAATGATTGATTGTCTTCGTCTATATTAGAGATTCAACAAGACATGTTTGGGTAGTGACAACGTTCTCGAAGTTGAACAGCGATCCTATATTCCGAACATCAAACGAGTCAGTGCATATTTATCATTATCATTATTAGATTAATTTTTTTGTACACCAGATGGCCCTGTTTCCTGTCGTAGCACAACAGCAGCGGTGTGTATGTAAGATCCCGCCACTGTGGAGACAATCATTTACAGATTGTAATGCTGTTCACCCCCATCGTGGTGGCAGTTAGACAATCAGAAAATAAGAAAAAAAAAAAAAAAAAAAAGATAAAAACTACTCAATCGAACTTCTGCCCTTCAATTAGAACGCCGTTAATTAGCAAGCTCCCAGTAGTACATGCAGGACCATAAAAGGCGTCTGAATGACGCCTTATCAAGGCATCTAACAAGAGAAAGAGGACAAAGGTTTAATTTAATAAAAACATGGAAGCAATTTTTGTCTGCCAACCTAATAAACGATTGGAAGCGCTCGATGAAGGCCACAAGATAAGGTTAACTCAAAAGGCGTTTAGGAACAGGACGAAAACCTGTTTAGGACTGTATATACACGTATATGCCTGAAATATGTGCCAGTTCTTAGTTCGAAAGCTAGCTCATAGTTCAATGAATGAATCAGATCACAATAAGAGGTGATCTTGATCTATACGAGTGTTTAGAACTTGACGCAATGTACAATTTCAAAGGTAGAGCAGGAATCATTGATGACTGTTTCGAAATTGATGTCAAGCGAACCCACATATATCTTGTTGAAGTATAAACAAATAGCAGTAAATGGGCATTAAGAGAACTTGCGAATTTAGAAATGGAATTCACATAAATACACAGGCGTAAAACTAAGTAAAATTGCATTGCTTGTCTGATCTGTTACTGAACAGTCGAAACGAAGAAGCTTTACTGTGACCTGAACGGCCATTGCGTTAGTTGCACGAAATAAAGGAGTTTCTCGTTTTTCTTGACACGCTAGAATTGTACGTTTTCGAGGCGCATTATGTATGCCCAGGGTGTAGATTGAGGCTGTCTAGGCCAATCGGGTTTCATTCTAGGAGGATGATTTGAGTCATCTGGGAGACTGAAAAAGCATCGTTTTGCTTGATGTGAAACAGATTCTGGTGATACTCTGAACTCGGCTGGAGTAGCATTATTTACTTGGCTATGAGATGAAAACTTGTACGCCCGGTATAGCACGAGCGTATATTAGGTTCTCTCTTTGATTGCTTACCCTTAGGTGTATGTATATATGTGCGTGTGTGTGTGTGTGTGTCTACGTGTGAATTACGTTGATGAGCTTACGTATTGCTGATACGAGTTCATTTTATATGATCCACCTATGTTTGCAAATCGATAAACATTTATCATCCTAAGGTATCATAAAAGTATTGACCGCTTTTCTAGGTAGATCACGTACGGTTGGCACTGAGGTTTGGTAATAATAACTATGTTAAGGTTGATGATGTGCCTTCATTCAAGATAAACGGCCTTAAAGGATAAATGAAATTTGTGCAAAAGATTGCTATATTTTATGACAAAGGCATGAACACTGCCCAGATTCTTAAAAAGATTATGCTCTTTGTAATCAAAATGTGTTATGGGGAAAAAAAAAAGCCCAAAAATACTTCCGTCGCTTTCGATGTGCAAAAAAATGCTCACAACTTTAAACCCTTTGAAGAGTACGGGTGACAAAAAAAAGCTCTGTGTCTGGATGAGACACGAAATGACGCAAAAAAATCCACTAGATTGTTATTCCATCTGCCAAGGTCTACAAAACGCGGCAAAATCGAGCCAATGTTGAGCACCAGTGATCAAAATAGGTGACATATAATAATCATATATAAATGACGAAATGTGGTATGGCAAAGCCCAGACTGGCATCAAAAAAGGTAATGTTATATGTCTAGTGGGATCGTAAACGAGTTGTTGCTGCAAGGCAAAACGATTCATTTAGGCTTTTATTATTAGCAATTAACAACGAGATTACAACAAGTTATCAATCAAATCGATCTTAAGCTACCAGGTAAACACTGGAAGTGTTTGGATGCAAAATTAACATGCGTTCGCCTGTATAGCCCGAATCTTGTACCATCAAACCATCATCTGTTTCAGTCCTTGTAGAACTCCCTAATGAGATTAATCCAATTTCAATGGGGGGATGCAAAAACCGCTTGCCACTACTTTCGACCAGAAATTACAGGAGATTTGCAGCGATAGGATTATGGCCCATATTTAATTTGGTGATAGTATTTTACACTATAAAAAAGTATTTACTTCAGTTCTGGTCTATAAACAATCGATACATTCTTGACAACTTACTATAAGGAGCTACGGAATCGGTAAACGCTCGTTGAAATCCACTGTATGACAAATCTCGTACTTGAGATAACTGGTGCCTCGTATAGATATTTAATGAAAATTTAATTAGAAAGCAAACTGGACTTTTTCCAGTAATCACTCGCTTGCGAAAAGTTACTGCGGTAACCATTGGACCGAAGAAAATGAAATGCCATCAAATAATGGCACATATGTGAATCGATCCCCAGCCGCCCTATACCGCACACCCCATGTCTTGTTCTGGCTGTCATACGAAGTCTTGAAAAAACCATGACGCTGTGCTCAATGTCATTTGGCGACGAACAGACATGGCGCGATACGTGTCTTACCTTCGATTTTCTGCTATACGTAAGACACCTTACAAAACACAGGCGATAAAAATACTGTTTATATCGTCGCATTTTACTATCTCTACATGCGTGTCTACCTTTGTGCGCGATTGTCCACGTATGCAGGTGCCTAATGAATAGTATAGCCATTATTTACATGTACGAATGCACCAGAGTATGAGGAAGGGTGTTATTCCACAAGCAATACACCTACTAACACTGCTGTCCTCGAGATAAATCGCGTGGCAGAGTTCGCATGCAATTTGTGCTTCCCTCCAATCATCGTCGTGTCAGACTCTATCTCTCCACTTAATGACACTTCTTTATGCTCAAACAACGCCAGAACGTGCCACACTTCGTAATATTTTCTTACCAGACACAGCCGCTTTATTCCCCATAAACCCTCTCTTTTACCCCCGAAGAGGGAAGAGTAGCCGCCTCTTCAGCAGCATCAATAACACCTTTCCGCCGCTCTGCTTCTTTTGCTCGTAGTCTGACACTGCATAAGCAATTTTTCCCCATCACTGGTCTTTCCACATTGTAGTTTTGACGTTCTGCTTTTCATCGTAACCGAACGAGTCAACGAAGTGTTACCTGCCACAAAGTATTACCTAAACTATTATGTTAGATTTAGCACCAGCAGTGCTACCTCTATGCATCAATACACATAGTGTATTATGCGTGCTATAATATTATTGAAATATGCGTAGGTACTATAGTTGTCGACTGGACGCGGTTGCGGACGCGCTCTCAAGTACGTGCGTCATTAGAGCTTGATTACGAGATCCTCTTGGGGAATAGTTAGCCAAAGAATCCCAGAGCCTACGACGA